CAAAATAAAACTTATAGAGATGAAAAGTACTATATTTGAGATGAAAAATACTTGTTTAGGATTAATGGCAGATCAGGCATTACAGAAGAAAAGATTATGAACTTAAAGATGCAGAAACTATCCAAACTGAAAGAAAGAAAGAGAAGGTTTTTTTTAAATGAACAGAGTATCAGTGAGCTGTGGTACAACTTCAAGAGGTCTAATATGTGTAATTGGAATGTCCAAAGGAAGGGAGGAGACAGGATAAACGTTTGAAGAAATAATGGACATTTTCCAAATTTAATAAAAACTATAATCCTACAGGTTGAAAAATCTTAGTGAAACTCAAGCACAAGAAACCTGAAGAAAATTACCCTGACACATCATAAAGTTAAATTTGAGTATAAATTTGTATTATCACAAATTATACTCAACAATAAGTTGTAAAAAATACATTATGACCAAATGAGGTTTATCCAAGGAATGAAAGTTTGGTTTAATATTTGATAATCATTCCATGTAATTCACCATGTTAACAAAAAATGAAACACCATGTGATAACAACATAACTGGTTGTGAGCAGACATTAATAATAAAGGAATATTGTGAACTGTGCCAATAAATACATTTGATAACTTAAATAAAATGGATACATGCTTTCAAAGACACAAACTACCAAAGCTCACGCAAGAAGAAACAGAAAATCTGAATAGACCTGTATCCATTAAAGAAATTGAATTTGTAGTTAAAACCTTTGTATGAAGAAAACTCTGGGCCCACTTGGCTTCACTGATGAATTCTACTAAACATTTAAGGGAAGAGTAATACCAATTCTATAGAAACTCTTCCAGGAAATTGATGAGGATACAGTAATTCCCAACTCATTCTGTGAGGCCAGCATTACTCCGATATCAAAACCAGACAAAAAAATTATAAGGAAAAAAAAAACCTATAGACCAATATCCTTTATGAACATAGATGTAAAAATGTCAAACAAAATTTCAGCAAATCATATCCAGTAATACATTTTTAAAAATACATCATGACCGGCTGGGCGTGGTGGCTCACGCTTGTAATCCTAGCACTCTGGGAGGCCGAGGCGGGCGGATTGCTCAAGATCAGAAGTTCAAAACCAGCCTGAGCAAGACCCTGTCTCTACTATAAAAATAGAAAGAAATTAATTGGCCAACTAATATATACATATAAAATTAGCCGGGCATGGTGGCGCGTGCCTGTAGTCCCAGCTACTCGGGAGGCTGAGGCAGGAGGATTGCTTGAGCCCAGGAGTTTGAGGGTGCTGTGAGCTAGGCTGACACCACGGCACTCACTCTAGCCTGGGCAACAAGCGAGACTCTGTCTCAAAAAAAAAAAAAAAAAATACATCATGACCAAGTGAGGTTTGTCTAAGGAATTTATGTTTGGTTTAATATTTGAAAATCACTCCATGTAGTTCACTTTATTAACAAATAAAAAAGAAAAAATAGCATGATTATCTTAGTAGACACAGACGTTGGATAAAATCCAACATCCATTTCTGATAAAACCTTTCAGCAAACTAGAAATAGAAAATTCCTTAACATAATAAAGGACATATATGAGAAACTTACAGCTCTGGCCAGTACAATCAAGCAATAGAAATAAATATATCCAGATTTGAACAAAAGAAGAAAAACTCTCTTTATTTGCCAATGACATACATGATTATCTATGTGGAAAATCTGACACAATCTACAAAAAGCTACTAGAACTAATAAGTGAGGTTAGTAAGTTTTCAGGATACAAAATCAATATGTAAAAATCAATTTGACTTCAATATACTAACAATGAACAATCAGAAATTAAAATTTAAAGACCAATACTATTTAAAATAGCTTCAAAAAATGAAATATTTAGTGATAATGTGACAAAGGATTTGCAAGTCCTGTACACTAGAAGCTACAAAATATTGCTGAGGGAAATTAAAGAAGATCTAAATAAATCTTGAGATATACTGTACTATTGAGTCAGAAGACTCAATAATGTTAAGATTCTCAATCATCCCCAATTTATTGATCTATAGATTCAACATAATCCCAATAAAAATCCCAGCAGTTTTGTTTTAAAAAACAGAAATTGACAAACTAAATCTAAAATTCATATGAAAATGCAAAGAACCTAGAATAGGCAAAACAATGTCAAAAAAACAGAACAAATTTGGATAATTAGCACTACCTGATTTCAAGATGTATTATAAACCTCCAGTAATTAAGATAGTTGGGTACTGGTGTAAAGATAAATAAACAGATCAATATAACAAACTAGAGTACAGAAATAGATCCATACATGTATGGACAACAGATTTTTTGTGTTTTTACTTTTTAAATAAAATTTTTCTTTTAGAATAGATTTAGATTTTCAGAAAAGTTGTAAAGAGGTACAGAGAGTTCTATATACCTCAAACCCAGTTTCCCCTATTATTCACATCTTAAATTGGTATGGTGCATTTGTCACAATTAATGAACCATATTGATGCATTATAATGAACTAAAGTCTATGTGTTATTCAGATTTCCTTAGTTTTCACTTAATGTTCTTTTTCTGTTCCAGAATCCCATCTAGGACATTGTATTACATTCAGTCATTTTGCCTTCTTAGGCTCCTCTTGGCTGTGATCGTTTCTCAGACTTTACTTGTTTTGATGATCTTAGCAGTTTGGAGGCGTACTGATCAGGTATTTTGTAAACTATCCCTCAATTGAGATTTGTCTGATGTTTTTCTCATGATTATATTGGAGTTGTAGGTTTTTGGGAGGAAGCCCACAGAGGTAAAGCACAATTCATATCACATCATATCAAGGGTACATACTATCAATGTGACTTATCATTGTTGGTGTTAACAATTTTTCTAGAATCAACACTTGTAAGTCTGTTTGGTGACTTGTGTCACACTTCAGGACCCAGAGAGACTGAGGTCTCTTGACCCAAACAGAAGGGAACCCAAGCATAGAACCAGACACACCCACTGCGTGTATCTATTGTGTTGGGTACTGTCCTTAGCAATTTACATGAATTATCTCATTTCATTCTAGCACAAACCCACAAGGGAGATGCCATTATCCTCTTTGTTGTACACATGAAGAAACTGAAGATCAGAGAGTTTAACACAATGACTGCCACACTAGAAAAAAAATTTTTTTCCTTGGGCCCGTGGTGTTTTATTATGAAAATAGAATAAAGCTTCGAAAACAAAATGATCCTTTCTAATTTAATGAAAAATTTGTTATGTTTTATTGTTTTCTGTGTGTGAGTTATATGCAACTTGAAAAATAGTTCTTGTGGCTCCCAGGGTGAAGACACATGTGAGTTACATATGCTTCACGAGGCCCCAGGCTCAAAACTGGTGTTAAATACAACTCACATGGCAGTTAATGTGTAAAGCACCTGGTCCGAGGTTGACCACCATAGCATAATGATTTATGCCCCACCATCTCTCTCAGTTGCAGCCAAAGGGAGGCAGTTCCATCATTAAGAGTGTGTTAATGGGAAAAAGCTGGAAGACCCCATCAGAAGGGCCAGTAGCTGAGGTGGGCAATCTGGGTGTCAGCCAGGCCCCTGTGGTGGTCACCAGTGGTGGTACTGGGGCTATAGTATGGGGGTCTCTGGGCTCAGATTACTCAAGGGGGCTGTCCAAAGCAATGTGGGACCATCCGAGGTTAGAACTAGAGCAAGAAAATCTCAAGGACAAAGTTGTTAGAAGTGGGATATACAGTCAGAGCAGGATCAAAGGCAAAGCTGACTTGACCCAGAGTCAGCTCAGCTCTTCAAGCTTCTCCTGCCTAAAGGTGATGCCCTGTTCCTGGGCAGGAAGGGCCTGGAGGCCTGAGCATGGGAACAGAGAAGGGCTGGGGACCAGAAGCTGGGCAGGGCCTCATGCCCAGGCATGTTGTTCATCTCAAATGGCCCCTCAAGCTCCCTTATGCTGATTGGTGCTTTTTCCTGCTCCTCTTTCTCAAAATAACTTTATTGAGGCATATTTTGGATCATATAATTCATCGTTTTCAAGTGTGCAATTCAATGATATTTTAGTAAACTTTCCAAGTTATGCAACCATCACCATAAATCAGTTTTAAAATGCTTTCATCAGATCAGTATGATCCTTAATGCACATTTATAGTTAACCCCCATCCCCCATACCTCTCTCATCGCTACCCATTCCATCCACTCCCCAGGAAACCATTGAACCTACTTTCTGTCTATAAGATTTGCCTTTGTGGATATTTCACATAAATGGAACTATACAATATGTGGCCTCTCGTGCCTGACTTTTTTCTCTGAGCATAACATTTTTATTTTTTTTTGAGACAGAGTCTCACTTTGTTGCCCAGGCTAGAGTGAGTGCCGTGGCATCAGCCTAGCTCACAGCAACCTCAATCTCCTGGGCTCAGGCGATCCTCCTGTCTCAGCCTCCCAAGTAGCTGGGACTACAGGCATGCGCCACCATGCCCGGCTAATTTTTTGTATATATATTTTTAGTTGTCCAATTAATTTCTTTCTATTTTTAGTAGGGACGGGGTCTTGCTCAGGCTGGTTTCGAACTCCTGACCTCGAGCGATCCGCCCGCCTCGGCCTCCCAGAGTGCTAGGATTACAGGCGTGAGCCACCGCGCCCGGCCTGAGCATAACATTTTTGATGTTCATCCATGTCATAGGATGTGTCCATAGTTCATTCCTTTTACTACTGACTAGTATTCTGTTGTATGAATATACTACATTTTGTTTATCCACTTATCAGTTGATGAACATTTAGTTATTTCTAATTTTTTACCATTATGAATAATGTTGCTAAGAACATTCAAGTACAAGTCTGTGACTGGATATATGTTTTCATTCTCTTGTCCTACCTTCTCTCTTTAGCATTCATTTCTTTTTATTGTGTGTTATTGTACATTTTCTAATTTTAAGATTATTCTTCCTTTTTTCAGCTTCTTCACTGGTTTCCTATTGTCTTCAGTATAAAATTCATCCCCTTAGTGTGGTCAGAGAAGTTGCCTTCCTTCCTGTTCAACCTTATCTCTTGCCACTCTCTTTTTGAAGAGAAGAGATATATCACAGAATGAAGAGACATGGAGACAGGAAATCTAGAAAAAGAAATATTTCTCAGGTAATGTTTTAATGTTACTTATTGCCAATCACCCATACTAGATAATCTGAACTAATGATAAAATATTCTTGATTTGATACAGTAACTAAATGACCATTTTGGACAATGCCCAGTGCATAGTAGGGAACCTAATATTTCTTGAATATTTAAATTAATTCTGGTGAACAGCAGCAGGGCATTGAAGAGAGTAACTGGAAAAAAGACTGACATTAGTTTTCCTATGGGATTATGGGCAAAGTCTAGAACAGAATTAATGAGAATTAGGAAATGGACTTGAGTTGCTTAATGGCTGCCCAAGCCCCTGTCCAAAGCATGGAAAATAGAATTGTGGTATATCATTGCTGTTATATTACGTGCAGGAAATACAAGGAGAGGCAGTAACTCTTCAAGTCGGTTGCTGCTTTAAAGATTAAATTCCATGCTTTGTTAAAGCAGCAGCTGTGAAAAAAATGGAATTTTCAACCTGATGTGTACAGAGCTCTCACTTCATTATCTCACATGAAAACTCACTGATGATCCCGGGATAGTGATTTTGAGAAATGGCTGATTCTTCCTCTGGCAGTACCTGATCAGTCCTTTCTGTTGCTTCCTGAATATTGTTCGGTTACTTATTCTTAGGGTTCTTTCGGAAACTCATTTTCTCCTCAAGGCTTCCAATCTCCGGAATTAATTAAATGCCTTTGTTGGAAATTTTACCTAAAAATGCATTTTGATTTTACTAACTATTGTTATTTAATGTTGTAAAACTTCTGCCTGACACGTGAGTTGTACTTAACCACACTTCAATTTTACAAATTGTGTGCATGTGTGTGTATATATATATATCACTTTCCGTATTTCTTGATTGTAAATGAGAGTGAGCATTTTTTGTTAGTTTATTGGCCAGTCTATTTTCTTCTTCTGTAAAATGCTTGTTCTTATCCTTTGTTCATTTTTCTAATGGGTAGTTGTATTTTTCTTATTGATTTCTGGAAACTTTAAAATTTTGTGATACCAATCCTTTGTTCTTTATCTGTGAAGCAGGTACTGTCTTACAGTCTGTGACTTGATTTTTCACTTTCTTTCAGGCATCTGTTTTCATGCAGAAGTTTTAAATAGTTATTTGTCCAATTTATCAGTCTTTGCCTTGAAAATATCAGAAAGATACAGTGGATCCTCGTTATTCACAGATTTCGTATTTGCAAATTCACCTGCTTGCTGAAATTTATTTGCCTACTCACCAAAATCAATATTTGCAGTGAGCATGTGCAAATGTAGTAAAAAATTAGACTCATGCACATTCCCAGCTGAGGTCAAACAAAGTGACACTCTGCCTTCGTGTTTCAACTTTCAGGCTGTAAATGTGTCCTTCTCGAGGTATATTTAGTGCCACATTTTTCACATTTTTGTGGGTGAATTTGCTGTTTAAAGTGGCTCCTAAGCATACTATTTAAGTGCTGCCTGGTGTGGCTAAGTACAAGAAGGCTGTGATGTGCCTTACGGAGAAAATATTAATATGTGTGTTAGAGAAGCTTCATTCAGGCACGGGTGATAGCACTGTTGGCCATGAGTTCAGTGTTAACGAATCAAACATATATATTAAATGAGATGTCTTTAAACAGAAACACACATAAAACAAGCTTATAGGTTGATCCATTGACAAAAAATGTGACCAGAGGTTCATAGGAACCGAGCTGTGTATTTCCCTTAGGAGCAATGAATGGTTCAGTGTTTGCTTATTAAGTGTTCACAGAGAGTTTATAGAATAAAACTACTGTGAATAATGAGAATCAACTATATTCTCCAAAAGGTTTTTTTTGTTTTGTTTTGTTTTTATTTTAATTTTGCTTTTCAAGAGCATTTAGCTCTTTCATCCACTAGAAATGATTTTGGGGTATGATGTGGGAGCATCACTTATGGAATAGTTCATTTCTTCCCACTCATGTGTTATGCCACCTCTGTCATATAGCAAGCTCCCATATACACATGGGTCTATTTTTAGGCTCTTTGTTATGATCCATTGGTCTGTTTATTTATCATCTGACTAATACCTCATATATTAAATACTATAGGTTTACAATAGTCTTGATATCTGGTACTATGAGCCCCTCCCCCATCACCTTTATTCCTCTTCACAATTTCTTTGGCCCTTTAGCCCTCTGTATACATTTTAGGATCAGTTTGTCAATTCTGTGAAATCCCCTGTTGGATATTGATGGGAATTGCATTAAATTTATAGGTTAATCTGGAGAAAATTGCCATCTTTACCATATGAGTCTTCCTATCCATGAACATGGTGCATTTTCCCAATTATTTTAGTCTTCTCTAATATCTTTTAATGATGGATTTCTTATTATCATTCCTATAATCTTTTTTAAAAAATTAATTCCCTGATACATTATGGGGTTCTTATTGTTCTATTTGATTTTTTTTCAATTGTGCTTGCTCTTTTTCTGTAGGGTTTAGTGTATTTTTAGGATTTTGTTGCACCTTTTCTAGTCTTCAGTTTATATGTTTTAAAAAATAATCTATTTCTGGTTATCTCTACGTATTTTGAGTTTGTGGGGGGTATAATTGTACTTTTATAGTATATGTGGACTCTTGATTGGATTGGATTCTTCACTCATGGGCTTTGTAATTTTTTATTGTGAACTCATCATTAGCAGGACTTGTATTTTTGTGTGTGTGAACATCCCATGATATCTGGGATGTGGGAGCTTCTCTTCAAAGAAGGTTTTTGTTTGCTTCTGCCTTGTGACCCAGGAATATCACTGCGTGAGGAATAATTCTCATGTTACTTTTTAGTCTGGAGTGTCTGAACTGTGTCTGTAGAGTAAAAGCAATGTGGATTGTGCCCTTGTGGTTTTGACTTCTCAGAGAGCTTTTATTACTTTTTTTCCCACTAAAAGCCCTGTGCCCTGTGGTCTCTCTTGTTTTTAAATCTTTTCATAAATATAATAATTATTTCAGGGTCTTGGCTTTATGTAAAGTTCTCAGTTCAATTCCCTACTTCCCAGAGCCCCAAACCTCATTTCCTGCCCCTATGTGTGCATTAAATCCCAAACCCCTAAGCTCTGTAGACAAATACCCCCCATTAGCTCAAGCACTCACCCCTTTGCTTTTTCATTTCCCTCTTTGTTTCTGGCACCCAGGGATTTGCTTTTATCATTTGTAAGCCTAGCTGTACATTTAAAATAATTATGTTACATTTTACCCAGTATTTCTAGGTGATTATAGTAAAAGGATTTTCAGGTTATTTGCTTCCACCATATTGTTAGCAGCTGATAAGTGGACTTTTTGTAGTCTTTGCTATTTGTTAATAATCTTTAGGCTTCATATTTTTACCCAATGATTGCATGTTTGTGATATGCCATGTGCTTGAATTAGGTGAAGGAGCTCAGGAAATTTCACCCCAAAATATGACTCCTTGGTATAAAGAATATTTTGAATTGCAGGCCCCTCAAAATCAACAAAGCATTGGAGAGGGCTTTCCCTCTATCTACATAAACTGGACTGACCCATCAAAAGATCAAAGGGGGCAACTGACTTCCCTTCTTCTCCCTGTTATCTCGATATATTGCAGAATGCAACCAGACCTGAACCAAATCATTAATCTGTGTCTCAGGTTAATTGACAAGCCAATCTGTTTCCCCCATCCATTCATTCTCCCTAGCAACCGTTTATCACCCCTAAACAGAATTACCTATACTCTCCACTTTCCCTCCTCCCCTCTAAAAGGCATGTATAAAAATATCTGAACTTCATTGGGATATGGGTAATCATTCTGTGATTCTCCCCATGTGCATGGTGAATAAACCTTCCTCTTATTAATCTGCCTTAATCATGAGTTGATCTTTCAGCAAGCTTTTGGGGGAAAGGGCAAGTTTCCACTCACCCCTACATAGACAACATATATCATATACTGGGTCTCAATTTTTAAACCTTGGTATTACTTATTTCTGAATTTATGTAACTTTTTTTTACATAAATAGTATCATATTATACTTTCTTTAAGAAAAACAAGGACATCTTCTCTTTTCTTTCACCTTTCCTCTCCCAAATCAGCATGGCCCTCATCATCCCTTCTCCCTCACCTAGGGAAGCCATGTTAACCTGCTCTATGGGCTTCTGTATTTTTATCTGTCTGCATATAAACCTATACAGACCCATATATGTCCTCATATGTGCATATATTTATACACGGTAATACATAATATGAGTAGTTTTATGTTGTATGCTGTAGAAAAATGAGATTATATTATATATGATTTTCTCCATTCTGCTTTTCACAACCAACAATACCTAGTTGAAATCCTTGCAAGCTCTTATGACTGTAAGATTTTTGAATACACATATTAGTGTACTGCTTGATGAATTTCCACAGTGAATACACCCATGTAACCAGCATCCAGATCACGAAACAAAATATTACCAGTGCCCAGAACTGCCCTCCTCCCCCTTCCCCATGCCTTCTTCCATTTGCCTCCCACCTCCCCAAGAGTAGCCATCATCCTAATCTGTAACAGCATAGATTTCTTTAGCCTATTTTGTGCATTAGATAAAAGGAACCATTCAGTACATATTCTTTTTTTTTTTTTTTTGAGACAGAGTCTCACTCTGTTGCCTGGGCTAGAGTGCCGTGGCGTTGGCCTAGCTCACAGCAACCTCAAACTCATGGACTTAAGCAGTCCTTCTGCCTCAGCTTCCTGAGTAGCTGGGACTACAGGCATACACCACCATGCCTGGCTAATTTTTTCTTTATATATTTTTAGTTGGCCAATTAATTTCTTTCTATTTTTAGTAGAGACGGGGTCTCGCTCTTGCTCAGGCTGGTCTCGAACTCCTGACCTCAAACGATCCACCCACCTTGGCCTCCCAGAGTGCTAGGATTACAGGCGTGAGCCACTGTGCCTGGCCTTAATACATATTCTTTTACATTGTATTTATGATATTCATAATGTTGCAAGTAGTTGTACTTTGTTCGTTCTGATTACTGTATGTTATCCCATTGTGTGAATATA